GATAAAATCATCTGCCAAAGATTTACCATGATGGAGTGACAAATATTTACATATATCGCGGGGGGACAACAGGACACTGTGATTGATGACTTAATTCACCTTTGCTATGGATGTATTAAAAAGCACAGTCTTTATATTCAAAGTTACTCATTGCAGCATACTCTGAGAAGCAATGATGGAAGCCTGCAGTTAACCCAGGCTGTACTTCTAGAAAGGGTGAAATGGCCTCCAGCCACAGTCCTTGCCTGGGAAGCCAGTCTGGGTGGAGGTGAGGACGGATGCTGGGAGTGGCCCTTCCCACCTCTGTTCCTTCACATTTACCTATTTTTCCCAGTCTAGGCAAAAGGTGACCCCCGTTCCCAGAGCAATGGGAAGCTGTCCTACCAATAGGCTGTTTCCCCTCATATTCTCTCTCCACCCTTCTCACTGCAGAAAGAGATCACTGATATCTAACTGCAAAGGTGCCACCTGCTGCAACTATCGCTTAAAATGGCTTAAAATAGTTTACTTTTTATACTCTTTCCAGTGAAACAAAAGAGACAGGAGGGAGAAGAGAGGAGGAAATAAAGAGGATATAAAAGGAAAGAGGGAGGCCTAAGTACAGCTAGAGACAAGGGCACAGAAATGACAAATGAGAGCTGAAAGGACAGAGTCCCCACACATGCCCAGAGGAGGCCTCAGGGGATGACAGCCCTTAGGCATGCCTTTTCGGTGGGCCCAGAAGAGCGCCCAGAAGGACTACAGCCATGGTGCGTGGGGAACCTTTGTGCTCCCAGCCAGCACTGGATAAGGTTTCCAATTTGCTGTCATCACCCAATTCATACTGGATAGATGAATGATTGGGTGGTTGAGGAAATGGATGGATGGATGGACAGATGGATGGATGGGTTGGCGGACGGATGGATAAATGATGCATAGATGGATAGAAACTCCACCAGGAAGATGAGATGAAGTCCAAGGCCAAAACTGACTATGAACTGGAGAGCTCCCCATCAAACCTAACCTGGAGAAGAACAGTAAGACATACATACCTGCCAACAGCCCGAGGGCTATGGTTATGGAGTACTCTATAGGCCATCAACCTCAAAGACCCTGAAAAGGACCCCAAGAACAAACCAGTCCTGAAGTTCATATTCCCTGCTCTGGACTAGGGACCCCCTTCCTGCTCACATCCCAGCCTCAGCTCCAGCCACTCTCTACCCCGCTTGCCCACTGCTGCAACCACATGACACATGAGTCCCTGGATACAATAGGGCTCTCTGACCCCTCTCTCCCCAGGCCCACCTTAGCGATGGAGTTAATGAAAGTCCGTTCCTGTAGACACAGCCTCAGTGTCACCTACTCCAGGAAGCATCACTGACCCTCTGGCCACCCCCATGTCTCCCTATCCAGAGGGCATCTCTCCATCCTCGGTGCTCTCACAGGACCTGGTCCATACCTCTGCTTTTATAGGCAAAAAGGGTCTGTTTACACCTTTGTGCTCCCCACCAAGCTGCAAGCACCATGAGAGCAGGGACAATAGCCTGAGTGTCCAGCACAGAGCTTGGCACAGCACTTGGGCTCATTAAATGCTAGAGAAACACAAGAAAGAACCCATGAGCAGAAGGGAGAAGGTCCCAGCAGCCACAGGCAGGAGCCTAGGAGCACAGCCTCTGCCCTCAGGCCCTCCCAGCAGCTCTCACCTTTGTCACTTCAGGACTTCCACAGCCCTGGAGTGAGGAGAGGACACCCACATTCCCACCTCCCCTGGCTGGTGGTTCGGGCCAACAGGCTACATGAGGGTAGCATCAGGGGTGGTTGTCACTGCCCACAGAAGCCCCATTTAGCAGCCAGCAGTTCAGAGAAAAACCTAGGCCCAGCTGAGGATAGAAAGATTCCAGCTCATTTCCCAGTTAGTGGGTGACTGTTAAGCAGCCCCTGCCCTCACTCAGAGAGTTCCAGCACTGAGCCCAGAGCAGAGCAGCCTTCCTGCTCCCTCCATGGCCTGTGCCCTCAGCAGCCCCCAAGAGCAGCCCCATGGTGGGCTCCAGGTCTGAGGCCAGGAGACAAGGGTCCTGTCACCCCTGGAAGTGCCCCATAAAATGGGATCACAGAGAAGCTGGCGGTGCACAGGCCCCCCAGGCCCAGCCCCCCACAGTGAATGGATGTGCTCTGGATGCTGGGAGAAACAGCAGTTCCCAATGCAGCACATGGACAGCCTGGAGGGTCCCAGGCAGCCGATTCTGTGTCATGCAGAATTTGTCACTAATGACAGTGTAAGTGCCAACCTTCCCGACAAGTCCATGTAGCAAAATGTAAAAGATTCAAGCAAAGCTGTCCTCCTCCTTTACTCCCACCAGCCTGTCCTTCTGAGTGAGGAAGAGGAGCAGCTACGGCTGGGAGGGCCACATAACCCGTCTTTCCTACAGGCATCCCTGCCATCCCTGATCAGGCACAACAGCAACATGGCATCAATAGCAGTGGGGTGGTGAGGCAGTCACTGCCCCGTAACAGTGTTTTCAGCTTCATAGAATTCAGGACACATCCTAGCAGTGGGTCGCCCTTGTGAATATCGTCTATCCTAATCACAACATAAGAAGGCTGGGTCAGTCTGCTCAAAAAGCCCAAGCAATGCCTCCAGGTTGTAAACAAAGGTTTCTTGCGGGGACGACATCTCCAGGTCTCTTTAGGGGACCTGCTGGTCTAGCCAGCCATACAGGTCATACAGGTCATGTTCACCTCCATGGTGCAGATTCCTGCCCCTACCATGCACAATAGATGCACCAAAATTCTTTTAGTATAAGCCCTCTAAAAACCTCCGCCAGACCCTGGAACCATACCTTCCTCCATAAAGCCAGCATGGCCATGTTTTACCCACGACAGTCACTGCAATACCATGTACTTTCTGTGGCATCCCTGCAACGTGGCAGAGAAGGCTCTGGAGTGGGTCCAACCAGGACGTGAATCCTGTCCAACCCCCTGGTTGCTACTTGTGTGATCTTAATCAAGTCCTTTAACTCTTTCAGCTTCAATTGCCTCATTTGTAAAGCAGGAGGATTAGAGGATGCACACATTCTCTAGAGGCCTGTGGTAGGCACCCCAGAAATTATGGCACCCCCCCATTCCCAAAGGCTGGCACACAGGACCAGAGACCAAGACTCTGACTGGTTGGCGCTGGAGGCAATGAAGCTCAGGTGCCATCCTTCTCCACAGTCACCGGCCACTACTCCCAGAGGCTTGTCACTCTTGCCCGAGAGGCCACTTCAGGGGCATCCCCAGCTCTGCAGCATCCAGTAAAGCAAAGGTTTTGCAAACACGGGGAAGGAGAGGGCAACCGGCCAAAGCCAAGCTGAGCATATCCAACACTGCAGGAGTTTGCATAATTAACCACTTAGGCCATTCTTGGTTCTGTGCTAAATCCTTGTAGGGCCTAGAAACAGGGGAAGGGCTGAATTCTCAGGAAGGGATTTGATGAATGTGTGCAGTGAAAAGAGAACGGATGCTTCTTGAGAAGCTACGTGCCAAATGCTTTATCGTATCTGTCATCTCCTTCATTCCTACTTGATGGATGAAGGAACTGAGGTTATGAAGGTGAAGCAAATTACCCAAGGCCACATAATAATAAGTGCGGGACTTGACCCCAAATCTGTGTAATTCACAAACCAATATTCTTTCCACTTCTAGGCTTAACGGCAGATCAGGGGCAAGGAGGACAGGAAGCAAAAAGAGGAGGCACGGGATTGGTGAGGAAAGAGAGGGAGGAGGCTGGCATCAGAATTAGCAGACACCATCACTGCAGCTGATTCCGGCCAGGGAGTGGAACAAGGAGAAAAGCCTTCCTGTACGCAGACACTTCTGGGCACATTCTGGAAAGCCTGGACATACTAGAGCTGATACTCCAGGGCTGCCCATGACTGGCCTGAATCCTTTCCTACAGGGAAACATGTTCCTGTGAGAACGCCGAGTACCAACAGGACATCACAGCCTGGCTGACCACGAGTGTATCCAGAGTCTGCTTAGGCGAGAGCATCAGGGCTGCCAGCCAATTGCACCAAATTAAGCACTCAGAATTTGAAGTTCTCCAGCGCTGGGCTTCTTACTGGCTCCTGATGCATGAGGCAGCATTTTGAGTAATAATTAATTAGAGGGGAAAGCAGAATAAGCAAGCTTATTACTTTGTTTGCTTATGGAATTAGTATAATTCTGCCTTTCACTTTGTTTTACTTTCAATCAGAGTGGGCCAACCAGGTGAGGGATTGGAGGGGAAACCGCAGGGAGCATTCGGCCACCCTGTGCCCCCTTCAGTCTGTCCCTGCTTCCAGACACACCACACCCCCAGCATGCCCCCTACCCCCTGCAACCAACCCAGGCCAGAGAGAAACCTGCCAACTCCAACTTGTCACCTCTGCCATTAGACCACCAGGCCTGGCACCAATCCGCCAGCTCACAGAGTATTTCCAGTTGCCTGTTCTAAAACTAATGAATTATTTCTTAAACAGGGGGGCCCTGTCTTCATCAGAAGATCCTAATCCCTAATACAGGTGTTCAAAAAAAAAATCACTGATTAGCCCATGCACCAAAACACCAAGCCGGTGCACCATGTATCATTTGGCGATATGCAACTGACACCTCCCCCAGGTGCTAACAAATCCCCAGGCAGAGCTGCCCACCTCTGCAGAGAGCTGGAAATTTATTTTATCCCTAGAGGCTTAAAGCTGTCAACAAACAGAAGAAAATTAAAAGGAAAAAAAAAAAAAACCAGCCTGAGTTTTGCCTCAGAAATCTCTGGCAGTGACTTGTACACAAGCTTCCCTCTAGGGGCCCCCAGCCTCTCAGCATCTGGGCAGGTCTCAGCTCACCTCTGGGTAACAGTCAGGAGCCAAGTTGTGCTCGGTGTCCCCCAGGGGTCCCCACATCCGTTTTGGCCACGCACGACGAGCGGGCTGTGCCTGCAGCCCACCTGAGCCACCCGTGTAGAATTCTGGGTAGCCAGTCCTGTGGCCACAGGCCCCACCACCTACCTCGTTGATGAAAGAGTGCGCCCCCTGCGGGCTGAGCAGCAGAATGGCACGGCGCAGCGTGTCCCGGTAGCGGTTCAACTCCTCTGTCTTCATGGTGGTGAAGAGGCTAGTAAACACGTGGCTGATGTTCTTGTCCACCTTTTGTAAAGAGACGTCAAGACCCAGCCGCGAGGCCTGGTCCAGAAAGCTTTGGAGCCCACGGATATCTGAGCAGTGGGAGAAGAGGAGGAGAGAACCGTCTTAGAGCAGAAAAGGCCCATGGAGGGTCGAACTCCAACACTCCCCACCCATTACAGGCCACCACAGGAAGCGAGGGCTCAAGTCTATCTTGGTGATCACTGAATGGAGGTTGGAAGCCCTCCCCAGCACCCAGCCCCAGTGTGTCTCCCACTATGGGGAGCGCTTTCTGCCATCCAACAGGTCCTGTGGCCAGAAAGCAGCTTCATGATGAGCTTCCTTTCTCTCCCTCTTGTTTTCATCCGATGGCAGTGAAAGTTCTGGCAGTTCTTTTCTCACAGCTACACGTGCTGGTGGTCCCTGGCCTGGTCCCTGGGTCCCCCACCTTCCTCTACTCGCCATGGCCGAGGATCCTTGACCCTCAGTGGCTACCAGCTGCCCTGACTGAAGCAGGCCCAGCCCTGGGCCCTGTCCTGTCACTGAACAGCCTATATTCTCACACCCCAGCCCTGAGTCTTGGGACCCTGTCTTGTTCCCAGGACCTAATTTTCCTGGAGGAGGAGGATGAAACACTCTTCCTCCACTCTCTTTCCAGCCAGGGTGAACTCTCACCCCATGTCCAACCAGAATGTCCCATCCTGACTAGTTCAGGAGTGAGCAGATGGTCCGAGACGATGCGCTGGGTGCCATCCCAGCACTCTGGTGCAGCGCCTGGGAGACAGGCCTGCTCTTCCCGTCATAGCTGCCAGGAGGGCAGGATGCAACCCCAGTGCAGGAGAGGAGCAGGGCAAGCTGGAATAAATTACCAGAGGACGGCTGTCCAGAAGGAACCTAGAGGCCCACTCTACTGCATGTTAGTGTAAACCTAGTGTTGTGAGGGCTGGGGGTGCTTTTTTTTTTTTAACCAGAGCCCAAATCTTCTCTCAGCAGCAGCCCTCTATAAGCCATCTGGCTTCCCCAAAGGGAGACCTGCCAAGAATGGAGCCAACCATGAGGCAAGCAGGTCCCAGCATGAGACCCAGTGCTGATGATGTTATTTAAGCCTCTGGCTCCATCTATGTCTGAAGCCTGTTTCTCCTGGATTTTTCAGTTCCATGAGCCAAAGAATACCCTTTCTTACCAAGCCAAGTTGAGCTGGATTTCTATCATTTGCAACCCAAAGTCTCAACCCATCAGCACTTTTTCAAAACCTGGGATATTTCCTTCATGTGGCCCATACCTGCATACCAGCTCCCCAAAACAAGACCTACACCTAAGCCACTCCCTCTGAATGGCACTCTGGGCCTGCCCAGGTCACACATGCTGCACTCTCCCAGGCCTGGGACACTCAGGGGCTACCACAGTCACACCCTGGCCCAAGAATCAAATTCAAAGTAAACAGCATTAATTCAACCAGATGTTTCTCCCAACCAGGTCTCCTCCCAAACTTCTGCTTCATGCCCATTTCACAACTTCCAGAACGTCACACATGCCAGGCACTGTGTGAGCTGCTGCAGGGTCCCTGCCAGGGGACAGGCTCACCAGTAAGTCTAGTCCCAGCAGGACGTGACAAGAGTGATCACGGAGAAACAAATACAGTGCCAGGGAGGAGAGCAGGGTTTCATGATGGTCATGATTGGGGTGCTGGGGTGGGAGGGTTATACTAGGGTTCCCTATTCTCCACCACAAGAGGAAGCCCTGGAATGGGGTCTAAGTGCCTGCCGTGGAGTCGCACACTTAAGAGTTTAATATCATTCCTTAAACACTCAGACAAATAACCCATGCACTTTGTGCCTCGTTTTGGTCATCTTTACACTGGGGATGAAAGTCACTGACCACCATTTTCATAGGACTTTGAGGAACTTGAAGGTAACACCTGTTTGTGTCTTAGGGGCCTGTGCCCAAGAAACACAGGGAGCCAACCTCCTTATGGTCCGTGGGGAGGGTACGGCAGTGCCCAAATGAGAGCCCACCTAAAGATGGCAAATGCATGACTGATAGCCAAGCCAGTGGAACCTGTGTTCCAGTCCAGCCATGATTTCAGCCAGTTGTGTCCATCAGCAGCCTGGCCTCTGGAGCACAGACTTGTGCCCAGAGATGCTTGCCTTGCAAAGGACCTCAGTGCTGCTCTGCCCACTAAGTCAGGCAGAAAGAAGGTGCCAGGTAGCAGGATGGACCCTCTTCACCCAGGGCTGCCAAGCGAGGAAAAGTGACTGACACAGGACTACACAGTGTCTTATGCTTGTCCCAGCACCAAGGGCTCCCAACACACAGGTCCCAGGCTGTCAACACCCCTTGGATTCCCAGAGAGTCCATGCGGTCCCCATCAGCCGGTTTGGCCCCTGGAGATCTGTAGCCCCAAAGCCTCTAAAAGAAAAGTTCAAAGAGGTTCTTTGGCACTTCTTCACCAATCAGAGAACGGCAGGGCAAACATGCAGAGAGGCCTCAAGGAGCAGGACCCCCAACTAGGAAAATTCAGGGCTGGTGTCAAGCCCGGCCCCTCCCGCTCCTGAGCACAGCACAACTCGCACCTGCCAATTCTAAGTTTGAACATCCCAGCACCAAGCAGACACCCATGCCCAAAACTGCTCCTGTGCTGGGCAGGCAGCAGCTTTCCATCTGAGCACATGACAGTTTCACTCTCCATCTAGGCTGTCCAATATAGCATCCACGAGCCACATGGGACTATTCAAACTTAAATTCATTAAAATTAAATAAAGTCACACTCTCAGTTCTTCAGTCACACTAGCTGCATTTCAAATACTCAGTGGCCACATGTGGCTGGTGGCTACCATATTGGACAGCACAGATACAGGTCATAGGTGATGGATTATCACAGAAAGTTCTATTGCATGCTACTGCCTAAGAAGCTGTCTTTAACCAGTGTGATGTAAGTGATGTCCCCACATATGGGAGATTAGCTGCATTCAGGCCCCCTGGTAATGGCCTCCCTCTTCCCATGCCTCTTAGCCTGTCGCTTTGAAGACCCTTCCAGCTCCCACTCTAAGTTCGGTCACGCAACCTGCTTTGTCCCACAGACAGTTATAACCTGGCTTAAGCAGAGGTTTGAATAAATGTTTACACACTTCTGTTTCTTCCCTTGACCCTGCCACCACCATGAGAACATCCCTGGGCTAGCCAGCTGGCGGGATATAGACACACATTACAAAGGACCAGGTCGGCCCCTGGCAGCCACCTTCAGCCATGTGCCAGCTGAATTCAGATGCACAAATGAGTCCTGAGTAGAACTGCCCAATTGATCTACAGATTCATAAAAACTAAATGACAGTTGTTCTAAGCCACTAAATTTGGGGATGGTTGGTTTCTGAGCAGTACCTAACTGATAGACCAAGCTCATCAGATCCATTAAACATTCCCCCACGCTGCTGCCCCGATGCGGCTGGGTGGGAGCCAGTCTCAAGGCCACTGGCGGCTCCTGCAGCCCTGTCCCTTAGCCTGGACACCAACAGTCCTCACTCCCCATGGCCTGGGCTCTGACCTATATCTGAGCATAGGGGACAGGACAGTGAGAGCTTCCTGGGACACACATGAAGGTGGCACCCTGAGATACCGTCTACCAGCTCCCACTCTGCTTCCAGCGCCTTCCAAGACCATTTTGAGTCTTTACAGTGGCAGAGACTGGCCATGGCTGTGTAGATGTGCTTTGTGCACATTTACATGAGCACATGCTCAAGGAGGGCTTTGGCACAGCTCCGTGCGTGCCCGTGGGTCCACAAGTCTGGTAGGGTTCCAGGGATCTCACACATTACACCGGCATGGCTGGTCCCCTCAGGCTGGGATAGAAGTTCCCTTGGTCCCTTCTCTGTGGTCCCCCTGCCTAAAACCAAAAGACTATTTCATTTCCTCAGGAATAGGAGGTGCCGGGGTAGGGCGGAGGGTAACGACTGTGTCGGGACCCACATGGAGAACACAAGCAGCCCTCAGAGCTCCTGCGTGTCCTTGGCGGCTGCATTTCTACCTTCTCTTTGGGCAGCCCCTCACAGAGCTATCAGAGAGAGTTTAAGCTCCCTGTCAGCGGCCGGATCCTCACACTTAGAAAAAGTGATGCAGGCTGAAGGCAGCATCCCGGAGGGACCACCACCCCTGACTATAACCACCTGCTCCCACCTGGCTGAAAAGGTCAGCTCTCAGCATCTGGAGCTCTTATTCAGCTGCACTTAGGGAAGGCTAGTGTCAAAATAACAGTTGAGAGCATAATGCCACAAATAACTTTGTAAACCTCCAGGCCATTCCCCAGGAATGGGGCCAAGGAAGCCCGTTTCTCTAACAAAAGTCCTTTTCTCCTTATAAGAGACTGAGTTTGCAATGCCACCCTTCCCTCCCCCCAAGAAAGCCAGCTATCCACTGCTGCCCCCCAAGAATAGAGAACTCTCCAAGAAGGTAGAATAGGAACAGAGCTGGGGCTGCTCCCATAGGCTGCACAGTGGGCACCCCAGTAAGCCATCTTAGCCCCCAAGGAGTTCCAGACCTCAACCCAGGCCCTCCCCTGCACAGACTGGCCGGCCCAGTCCACTATGCTGGTGCAGCTCTCCAACCAGACCTACCTCCACTGGAGAGGGAACTGATGGGGCCACACTGGGCCCCATTCCAGGAAGGGCGGGAGAAAGCAAAGGGCCCATGGCTTTCCAAAGCAGTGAGGGGAGGCAAGAACCATGGAAAAGAGCATCGGCCACTCACAGGAATAGGGAGCGGCACCCTGCTCCCCAGGAAAGGAGGCAGCCCAGAGAACACAGACAAGTCCATCCCTATGAGAAATCTGATGTGACAAATGCCGGGACAGGCCTTGGCTTCTTTGGCCCACCACCCTCTGGGCTCTCAAGGGACCCTGCCACCCAAAGTCTTTGCAATCCCCGAACCCAACTGGGTTGTCTGCCCACTCTCATTCACTCCTTTCCACCCATCTTCACTGAGAGCTTTCTCTATGTTGGCCCTTCTCCTTGGTGCTGAGAAACAAGAGTGAAGGAGCCCACAGTGTTCCTGCTGCCATGGCACTTACACTACAGGGGCTGGAGAATAGACTGGAACAAATAAATAACATGCTAAATAGATAATTTCCAACAGTGATAAGAGCTCTGAAGAAAATCGATGTGGGGCTGGAGGAAACCATAAGGGTGGGGGTGGGGAGGCTCCTGTGAGAAGCCTCAGTGGGAAGGAGCCAGCCGGGGAAACCTCTCAGGGAAGAACATTCCAGATAGAAGAAACAACATACAAAGAGTTCCAGAATGACGTATCTGTGACACCCAATGAAGGACTTTGATCACCCCATGACGGGGACAAGAAACAGACAGGACCGAGACGCCTGGACTGCGGAGCTGCCATGGAAGGAAGCTGAGGTGGGCGGGCAGCGGGGAGCACCCACCAGCAGTGGAGAAGCGGAGGACACAGGTCCCGGGTGCCCGAGC